CACCTCAAGTTATTACATTCTATATGATGTCGTCTTCTTCTGAATGGGGGAAGGGGGGCGGTCTCACACATTCCATGGCGCTCACAGCACTTCCTCAGGGTCATTACCGCCAGCCGTGTGATGTTTGTCGGAGTGTCTGTTCCCGGGTTCTGTGCTGATGTTACACATGAACACAGAAGACGTTCCGAGGTCACATCGCGTGTGCTATGCGCTGTACGTTTAACTATTTGAACACTGGACAAAAATAGATCACTGGTATACGGCCTTCTGAAGATTTAATACACAATTAGAAGCTTCACCTGCCCAGCTCATCATCATAAGAGGATTTGTATCCATAAGGTGCATCAAATATGAGTTGACCAATCAAAGCTCCCCTCCTCCTATGATGTCATTTTATATATATAATCCTCGTCACCTTTATTTTTGGTTGCATCTCAGAGCTGCTGATCTCCTGCGGCCACTTCCTGTCTGGATGCACTCCAGCGATGGCTGTGCGGCCTATCTCGGGGCGGGTTTCCCAATGGTGACAACAGTGGACCGTGTCTGTGTAATGTGCATTGGAACAGCCACCTGCAGTCTCCATTCAGGGACAGAGCATTGTCACCCTATAACAGGAAGTGCCTGAACAAGGACCTCCATGGTGGGATCAGCGGGGATTCATTTACCAAAAGATGCTCAGTTTCTGGCAGTGGAGTTTGCATCTACTTTAATGTCATCTATGAAAATATAAAAGTGGACACATCGCATGCGTAGACAGACAGACACCGCACACACTTCCTTTACGTATGCTCGTTAAAAAAAACATCAATTCTTTAATATCAGACTCCGGCGTCTGCCGACACGAGGGAGGGACAATCCTCAGAGAGAACACGGAGGCTCCACAATCTCCGAAAGGACCCGTCTGGATCTCTGTGGTCCTGGAATCCTCAGAACCGACAGGAATTATCGGGTGATATATGTTCCAGAGGAGGGCGGTGAAAGTATAAGGGGCGGGGCTAAGATTCCGAGGCCTGTTACCAACACCATAATTTGTGGTGGAGCAAACAAAGCAAATAATACGGTATCTAAGCACCAAGAGGCAACCATGCACATGGAAGGCACCATATTGGAAGTCCATGCCTGAGGAATAATAGGTGAATCCTGTCTATGCTGGTACTCATTGATAATGAGTGGCTCCTGTTTAAGGCCATCCTCGTGGATAATGGGTGGCTCCTGTCTATGTAGGTCCTCTTGGACAATGGGTGGCACTCATGGATAATGGGTGGCTCCCATCAATGGCAGTCCTCATGGATAATGGGTGACTCCTGTCTATGTAGGTCCTCTTGGACAATGGGTGGCTCCTGTCTATGTAGGTCCTCTTGGACAATGGGTGGCACTCATGGATAATGGGTGGCTCCCATAAATGGCAGTCCTCATGGACAATGGGTGACTCCTGTCTATGTAGGTCCTCTTGGACAATGGGTGGCTCTTGTCTATGTAGGTCCTCTTGGACAATGGGTGGCTCCTGTCTATGTAGGTCCTCTTGGACAATGGGTGGCTCCTGTCTATGTAGGTCCTCTTGGACAATGGGTGGCTCTTGTCTATGTAGGTCCTCTTGGACAATGGGTGGCTCCTGTCTATGTAGGTCCTCTTGGACAATGGGTGGCTCCTGTCTATGTAGGTCCTCTTGGACAATGGGTGGCACTCATGGATAATGGGTGGCTCCCATCAATGGCAGTCCTCTTGGACAATGGGTGACTCCTGTCTATGTAGGTCCTCTTGGACAATGGGTGGCTCCTGTCTATGTAGGTCCTCTTGGACAATGGGTGGCTCCTGTCTATGTAGGTCCTCTTGGACAATGGGTGGCTCCTGTCTATGTAGGTCCTCTTGGACAATGGGTGGCTCCTGTCTATGTAGGTCCTCTTGGACAATGGGTGGCTCTTGTCTATGGTGGTCCTCATTGATAACGAGTGGCTTTTGTTTAAGGCAGTGCTCATGGATAATGGGTGGATCCTATCTATGTAGGTCCTCTTGGACAATGGGTGGCACTCATGAAAAATAGGTGGCTCCTGTCTATGGCGGTCTTCATGGATCATGGATGGCTCCTATCTATGGTTGTCTTCATGAATCAATGGTGATTCATGTATAATCAGTGGGTCCTGTCTTTAGCGGGCATCATGGATAATGGGTGGCTCCTGCCTATGGCGGTCTTCATAGATCATGGGTGGTTTGTATCCATGGCGGTCTTCATGGATAACAGTTGGCTCCTATCTATGGTTAAATTCATGGATAATCAGTTTAGAAGCAGGTTTAGCAAAGTGTTATTTATGAAGTGACTGCGGTCACATGCGTTCTCACGGATTCTTCTTTTTCTGCACCTGCACACACTGCATGTTGTGCACCCGGATATGAGCTAAGAGAGTCTCTTTCTTGTTGAAGCTGCGCTCGCACTGGTGGCACGGGAAGGGCTTGTCGGGGGCGTGGTTGGACTGGTGAGCCATCAGCTGCGTCTTCAGGAAGAAGCTCTCGCTGCACTGGGTGCACTTGAAGGGCTTAGTGTCCGTGTGCACCCCCTCGTGGGTGACCAGCAGGGCCTTGTCGTTGAAGCTCTTCTCGCAGTGCCGGCACTTGAACGGCTTGGGTTTCAGGTGGCACTCCTCGTGCTCCACCAGGCTGTTGCGGTTGGGGAACCACTTGTTGCAGTGGCTGCACTTGTGAGGCTTTTCCCCGGTGTGGGTCCTCTTGTGGGCCACCAGGAGCGACTGGTCGTTGAAGTTCTTGTCGCACTGGTCGCATTGGAAGGGCTTGCCTTCCCTGTGCGTGTTGTTGTGAGCGGCCAGCAGCGAGGGTTTGGAGAAGCTCATGTCACACAAAGAACAGGGGTAGGCCAGCTTCCCGGTATGGATCCGGTGGTGGGCTTCCAGAATGGACTTGTCGTTAAACCTTTTCTCGCAGAAATTGCATTTCAGAGGCTTTTCGCTTTCATGTTGCGGGAGGCTGCCACTGAAGCTGGAGGGCGTGCCGCCGCTGCTCGTGCTCGCCTGCGAATTCGGGGTTTCGGGTGAAGTCTGGGAAATGGGACTCGGGGCATTTTCGGCGCTCGTGTTGCCGGGCCCCGACGTCCCGTTCATGCTGGACTCTTGAGGCACAGCTTTGGTGGGAGGTTCATCTTGCACACCGTTGGGCACATTCTTGGAGGACTTGGAGTGTTTCCTTCGATGTACGATCAGCTCAGACTTGTAACCGAAAGACTTGTTGCAGTCAATGCACTTGTGCGGTTTGTCCCCGCTGTGCACGCGGAGGTGCGCTTCCAAAGCCGAAGTGTAGTTGAAGGTTTTTTCACAGTGTTGGCAATAGTACACCTTGCGCTCTCGCAGGTTTCTGCTGTGTGCGGCCGGACTGTCCTGGATCTGGTCCTGGATCTGGTCCGGGACGGCCGAGTCGGCGCTCTGCTGATCTACGTTTTTACGAACCCTCTTGGAGGATCTCTTCATGGCTCCGTTCCTAGGATGGCTGTCTGCGTCTGTTAGGTCTTCTCGTGGCCTCTTCCCTTTCAGGTGATTGGTCGGAGGATCTGTCAAACACGAAGAGAACGGGTTAGAGATGCGGCAATATGTATGCTGATGTACTGTTATGTCTATTGTGCTGTAGGTGGCGCTGCAGTGCAATGTTAGTCTCTATGCTTATCTGTGACACACAGGAAGTTCTATCAATAGGTTTTCTTTCTACAATGCTGTATACACACATGTAATGTCCTGCTAAGCAAGGAACACTTCATTCAGCGTTCCTCAGGATCTCAGAGCTTCCTCTAAACCCTGGGACACACACACACACACACACACACACACACACACACACACACACACACCACTATATATGTGTTAAGATCTACTTTTCAAATGACGAGCTACATGAGATCTACTGAAAAAAAAAACTCCCTCGCTCTCTCTCTCCTGTCGGTCTCTGCTTGCTCATCCTCCTGGCTCTCTCTCCTGGCTGTCTCTCCTCTCTCTCCTGGCAGTCTCTCCTTGCTCTCCTGGCAGTCTCTCCTTGCTCATCCTCCTGGCTGCCTCTCCTTGCTCATCCTCCTGGCTGCCTCTCCTCGCTCTCGCTCCTGGCTGTCTCTCCTCGCTCTCTCTCCTGGCTGTCTCTCGCTCTCTCTCCTGGCTGTCTCTCGCTCTCTCTCCTGGCTGTCTCTC